CGCCCAAAACGTCAGCCTTCCTGCTCCTCTGATGCTGCTTGGCCTGCTGTGTTCATCCAGCTCTGCACCTTGTTATCTCAGATTCTCCAGCATCTGCAGTTCCTGCTATCTCTGAAACAATTTCACTTGAGGGACTGATTTGTCCAGTAATAACATCAGCCAGTATCATAATACTTGGCACAAAAACTCTTTGACAAATCCAAAAAAGATCAGTGGAAGTGTTTTCTCTTTAAGACAGTAGAAAGTACTGAATCAGCTACCACTACAAAAGCCTCAAGTAATTGCAGCACTAACCTGTCTAAATGACTATGTAATTCTGGCATAGGTTGCTGTGAAAGGTTACGCTAATCACTTTTCATAAGCCTCAAAAAAATGATTCCTTTAAAACCTCTTTGAACTGTTGATCTCAAATAGTTTGTGGTAATAGCTATCCATTCTATTTTATCCAGTGGAGATAAACGAATGAAAACTCCAGCCCTTTATCTATCAATGCGAATGTAGATTAAATAAGACTGACAGGCATATATTTATCCACACAGTGTATAAAATGTCTTAAGCCGTACTAATGAATGAACCAAAACAGCTATGGAAACAGCTGTTGGCAAGTCTTTTGACTTTGATAGGTTTGCTTGTTAAGTCACATAGTCTTCTGGTTCACTTTTAACTATTTGGAATCAAAACTCTCAACCAGTCAAGCTGCGCTCAGCCTTAATAATGAAGAGGACCTACAAGCTGAAGCAAAAAAAAAACTTCAGCTGGTAGCACTGCTAAGAAACACGCATAAAATAGGACTATTTTTAAGTTCAGTTTGGTTTTACAGGAGCTTTCTTTGTGGTCTTAATAATCCAATCACTATTTAATATTTAAAGTGCTTCGTATCTCTCAAAATTTGGAATAGAAACATGGGTTTTGCATTATGCTTCTTTGCTACATGGCTGATCCATTGAATTAACATAATATTTATTCTTTAATGTAATGTGCAAATTATTAATAGAAGCAGAGTACTGAATCCTTGAATTTTCTAAGACTATGAACATATACCCTGCTTGTACTGAGATGAGAAGATGTGAATTGATTTCCTGCATTTGCGCACCTCCCACATTCACATTCTGTTTGGTTGTCAGCATCTAATGACAGGAATTCAAGCAAGTTTGAAAACCTAGAATGCGAATATTATGCAAAACGACAGATGGTAAGGGGATTGACTACAAAGGTGGAATCATGTTCCTTGTTGGTTTTGGGCTTGTATATGTTTAACTAGCACAGCTACACATGGACATTCTGGCCCCAAATCAACTTGGGACTGCACATACTACAGGAGGTCATTCATAATTTTACATAAAATCCTAATATTTCATATGGCTTACATCTGATGTGTAAAAAAGGCCTAGACACCCTCCTGTGCTGTGCAGCCTTGGAAGGGCTTCTTTGTACTGGATTATGAATAAACAGAAGTTATCTCACGGGTGATGGTGAGGCAGGCTATTTCCTTCAGAACAGTGTAATAGACATTTCTTCACTCCTCCCTACAACTGACACCACAAGTGATTGCTCTGTCAGTCTGCTTTATTTTGTTTTGTCTCTCTGAAAAGCAAATCTGCTTTTCTGCTCACAACTTCTGCATTCAACTAAACAAAAACAAAATATTTTTGAGCTGGAAATCTGAAATAAAACAGAACACACAGGAGATATTCAGCAGATCAGACAGCATCTGTGAAGAGAGAAACAGAATTGAAGTTTCAGCTTGATAATCTTTCACCAAAACTGGTGGGAAAAGTAGGAAATGTAATAGATTTTAATTGAGTGCAAAGTTGGGGAGTTTGGATAAGATCAGATAGAGGCTGGAAGACAGAAGAAATTCGATGATAAAAGGAATGGCGATTCAAGACCAAAAGAAGTGATAATAAGACAAGTAGAACAAACCGAAAACCTGTTTAGCAAAGGTGTGGATAGCAGACTGATAAACAGCTGCAGACAGAAAGCAAAAACTGAAATGCAAAATAGTGAAGCAAAAGATAAGCAAAACAACAGAACATGGAAGAAGAGGTTACAGTCTGTTGCTCTAACCAGAGAACTTTTAAAAAAAAAAGTTTTGCTTTTACTTTAAATATTTACTAGCACAATAATAGATTTGAGAGAGGAAAGGTGGGGAGAGGCTCAACTATAGCACAAGAGCTACATGGGCTGGTTGTGCCAAACAGCCTGTTTCCGTGCTGGATCAAATATCATCCTAAGTAGCTCTATTTATTTAGACATATTAAATGTATTCTTGTTAAATAAGTGCTGCAATTTCTTATATTCTGTCATCTGTATATTCTACTTTAGCAGTAGTTTGAAGGAGTGATGTTGTGGTTTGTTACTTACATTTCTTTGTGTTATTAAACAGACCAACAGCATTGTATGAAAAGTTAATGAGATACAGGCTAATAGGTCAGATTTACAGCACAAGAGTAGTTTGTTTTTGTCCCCACCATTATGAGATAATTTTGATAACCTATTTGCTAGGGGAACACAAGGAGTGGGATTGGCGGGGGAGGCGATGGACGCAGAGAGATGGGTGGTGGGGGAGAAGCCATGATTGGCATAAGCATGGTTGAAGACTTGCTTGAAGGACAATGGGAGTGCTCCCATTTCTCCTTGCCCAGAAGAAATTTGGCAAAAGCCACTTACATTTTTGAGGCAGCAGTCTCACCCTCCTTTTACCAGGGATACCTGCACAACAACTTATATAGGAAAATCAAACTTCCAAATGCACGACGAAAATTAAACTTAAATATTCTGATAAATTACTCCATTTCTCACGGTCTAACGTAAATCTGAAACTGAAATAGGCACATACACACATTGGCTTGCGACCTGTTCATTATTTTAAAATTGTGAAAGAAGCTTCCCCCCAACCCACCCCCAACTTTAATTCTACAGTTGTCATCGGGGTGAGGTGGGTAATATCAGTAATATTGTATGGTTTCATACTGATAGTCACAAAGGTAAATTGTCAAGGGGATAGCGAAATACAAATCTTTGGCATGCAACAGAATTCTTGTTTCTTTTGCCCAATCATGCAGACGTTATTTATGTTAGCAGTATTTCCGTCATTTAAAAATAAATTTTGTTCAACATCTTACCAGCAGTAGTCCAATAAGTGAGGAGGAAGGACAGGAATGTAAACATGCTGCCAAAACATTGGATATAGCATAGCTGCTGACCCGTGGATGCAGGCCGTTAACTAGGAAGGAAAAGAAAAATTGCTTATCAAATCAAACACAAACTAAAATTTCAAACAAGCTGTCCCGAGTTCAATTGAAATGAAATCTTTTGATTAATTATACCATCCAATTTTTGAATCTGAAGAATAAGCAATTAACGTATGTTAAAAAAATTAAATGATCAGCATAAATATAAACACAAACAATACTTCTGAAATAAACGTCAAAATCAAACATTCATTCATTCATTCTGGTCCGAGTATTAATAGCTCAAGTGAATAATCCAACATGTGTTATGCTGAAAAGGAGGCCTCACGCTGATTACAACACTGTACTTTGTTTTTTCCCCTTTCAGATAATTAAGCTCCTTCCTCAATATCAACACCAAACTTTCTGAATTGTTATCATACCCTAAAGAACAGGCATGTTGCACAGAAAATAGGATAATGATCCAGCACCTCTGCATTATAACCAAGGGATTTCTATACAAACCAACAAGTAGACAAGTTCCAATGTGAAATAAACAAATTACACATTACAAAGTGTTGGAGAGATTTTCTGTATAGGTAAAAGCAAATCCTTGTAATAAACTCAGAGATAGCAAGATCTGCAGATGCTGGAGTCAGAATAGATACAGTGTGGAGTTGGAGGAACACAGCAGGCCAGGCAGCACCAGAGGATCGATGTTTCAGGCCTAGACCCTCCTACTCTGATGCTGCCTGACTTGTTGTGCTCCTCCAGCTCCACACTATATCAACCCTTGTAATGAACTATGGTCAGAAATAATTTTGCTTTCTGACCCAAATATGCAGATCTGCAATTCACTGTGATATGCAGTCGCATTCACACCTACAAGCCACATGGCTGATACGAATTATTTAACGTTTCAAATTTTAAAAAAAGAGTAAAGGCCTTTTGAAGCACTTCTGCCTGACTGTAAAAATGCATCACAATGCTTCACTTCTCCAAACAATGTAATGAGCTTAAGTACCTTTTCACCCTTTCTCCCTATATAAAAGGTGTTATTTGTGTTAAATCCAATATATTGGCAATGACATTAATTATGAGCTAGAGATCACAGAAGACTGACTTTTCTATAGTTCTAATGTGTTTTTCAAGGATATATGAAACATAATTCCACACAGGCAGGCTGCCAAACAATTTCTTATGCCAAGTGCTGCCAACTTATTGTCAGCCTATCACATGGTTGAAGAAATATTTAGGACCCAGAAGCTATGCTCACGTCACATAATCTAAACTCACCATGCATCAGTGAAAGTAGCTCCAGCTTTTGAAAAAGATAAGTAAAATCAAAAACACCTTTGATTTCTGCAGATAGTGTCACGTATAAAAAATGCATTCCATAACTCAGGTAACTAAGGGGTCTCCTACCATTCAATTCTGTTTAAATTGAAGAGCTCCTAATTAAGCATCAAAAGCAATCCTCTGTCAGCTGGCACAAAATCAGTGGTTTTGTGTATTATAGAAAACAGATGCTGAAAGCATTACGGTTTCATTTCAATAACTATAAAGAAGACAATGTTAAAATCTCCATAGACAGGTGATAACTAAATTCAAGCTTCCAGTTAGCAGGTGAAAGAATGACATGACAAAATTTCACATTTTAAGACATGTACTGTAACAGAAGGCTACAAAGCACACCTGGCTAAAAAATATCTATGCAGGCAATGAAACATATCAAAGCAGAGAACAACAAATTACATCCTCCCTTAATTTTAGCACAACTGAGAGAAAAAAAAACAAGCTTATATTATACTGTCCTTTAAGGGCACATTCAGTTTTCTCAAAATCAAGGCTAGAAAGTGGCATTGTGGTAACATTACTAGACTAGTAATCCAGAAAGCAAGGCTAACATCCTGGTAATGTCACAGAAGACCAGCACAGCAGCAGGTGGAATTTATTTTAATCTGGAATTAAAACAGTGATCATCATCACTTGATATTAAAACTTATTACACTAGATTATGTTGGCGTTCCTTTAGGGATGGAAAGTTGACTCCTCACAGAGCCTGGCCTACATGTGACTGCAGAATAGCAGCAACATGGTTGGATATTAACTGCCCGATGCAATAACATTTTCAGGAGAGGAGAGTGGGTTCCAACAGCAGGGGAAGCCGACCAGGTGAAGGGATGTGGATCAAGTCCAGAGCGGGGAAATGGGGGCAAGGAGGCATATTTGGTTCAGGGAAAGGAGATGGAACAGAGTAGGGTGGGGTGGGGGTTCCAGATCTCAGGGAGGTGTTAGTAAGGGTCTGCCGGGGTGTACTGTGGTCTGGGGGAGATGTAGTTGAGGGGGTACATGAGGTAAGTATGGGGTCAGTTGAATAGTTACTCAGGAATTAGACTGTTTTAATTTCATTGGAAACCTTTAAATTCTATGATTTAAATGGATACTTTCAGTGGGCTCCAAAGGCCAAGAAGCTGAAATTTCAATTTCCCAGGCAATGTCTTCAGAGTCTGCTACAATGGGGATTCTACAGGGTCCTCAGGCGCAATTTCCATCTACATATGATGAACGACCATCTGGCCATCAGAAAACCAGGGCCATTATTTTCACAACTCATCAAGAGGGTTAATGTTCGAATATTTACTTTACAAGTCCAAAAAATCCAAGTGAGAAAGGATTCTCAATTCCAATAGCCATGGTAGTCGGAAACGTATGCTGCAAACAATGCACAGATGAAAAAAGGATGCTCTCCCAACATACAGCAATTAAATGCTGTAAGTAAAATCACTTGTAAGTAAAAGCAATTTAAAAGATAAAAGGTTAGTTCTTTTTCACGTCGAGTATTCTTTTTTCCAATGGTATATTTCAAAAAGAGCTGAAGAGTCCTTTCCGGTTTCACAGTCTTTAAATCAATAGTCCGTTCATATCCAATTTTTGTTGCAATAATAACATCAAAAACCAATTTTACTGTTTCACTTGAGAAATATGATAGAGCCGACTATGTAACAATACTTTTGGAACTAACAGCAAAATTTGCTCACAGCTCCCTCCAGAGAGAAGACACATAGAAACTTGTGTGATTGACCATGAAACTAAAGAGATACACTGTAATCTCCAAATATCTGTAAAAATTGACAGCATTTCCTGAAAGATTGAAAACACACAAGGTGCTGACATTTCAATCACCGTCATTTATGGTGCTCGACTTGAAAACATTCCATCATTATGCACACTGTTACTTGTGATCTTAAGGACACAAGCTGAATGTACATATAAAACCAGGTACTTCAGGTCATTTTTTAAAAAACAAAATCATACATGCCTGAAGTACTAGAAATATTTTTGTTACCTATATGCCCAATGGAGTGCATTACAGAAGAACTGAACAAAATTTAGTATGAAGAGAATTACAGATGCAATACTGAAAAATGTTAATAAATTTTAAAAAAAAAGAAAAAGCTTCAAACATTACTTTTCACAATTCAGTCAACTTATATTGAAAAGGATATTTTTTAATAATTTAGACAGGATTCTTTATTAAACAATGACAATCATCATATCATTAAACAGTTCATTACAGCCTTACAAGCATTATTAATCAGACTCTTCATTCAAATGGTGTCAATCCTTTATCTGTATTTTTACACTGTTGTGATAAATAACCAGTGTGCTCTTAGATTTGTAATGTTGCACACTCAGTTGTTCCATACTAATAGCTTGTTACAGAAACTTATCTTGACATGCTGTCAAGCATTATCCAGTCAGAAATCGAAGAGGACAGGATCCAGAAAAGGAAACAAATATCTTGTAGAATTAACATATACAAGGTTGGCATCTAAATTGCAGCTATATTTAATAAGGGTAGCAGGACGTTTTCTAAACTAGCACTGCAGCTTTCTAAACTCTGTACTATCTGAATCTCTGGTAGGTTCCATATTACAATCTAATATCCTGGAAGGCTCTTTGTCACTTGAAATTACTTTAATTGAACAACAGTAACGGAAGAGCATCTGTCAACTCCACGTGAATGTAACCCACAATCTAACCTCCACTTCCCAACTAACACTACTGACAATTGTATTTATAACAAAGAAATTTTGGTCCTGTTCTTATAAGCCACCCACAATATTCGAGTTTAAGTGCTGAAAAAAACATTTAAAACTAAACATGAAAATAATTGTTCTTCAATCTGACAATCTAAACTACCAGGCAACAGCAGACAATGTTAATACCCATTAAAGCATAGGTGTTTGCACATATTGCCTCTTAAACATATGAACAAGAACCAATTTGTATAAATGTGCATAGCTATTTCTGATTTAACTGTTTTAAATAATAAGCATAAGAAGAAATGAAAATGTGCCTAAGCCTTTAATAAAAGTGCCCAATATGTGATATTAAATTTCAAATTAACTATCTCAAACTGTGACAATGTATTAGAACTGTGTGTTAAGGGCTTGCTTCAAGAAAAATGGTAGTTTTAAAAAAAGAAAAATATTTTTAAGTAATGTGATGATTTCAGTTTTGGGTTTTATTAACATTATTGCTAGCTGAGTTCTGATTGGCTGCTGGTTGATCCATCTCAGGATGTAAATTTTGTGACAAACAAGTGCATGTTTTAAAAACATGGCGCAAAGATTAATACTGGAAGCGAGATGTGACCTTATGCCGTCATACTATTTTAAATACCTTAAAAATCATATTTATATATTATATACTCACTTGTTTTTAATCTCTCAGTGCCTTAGCTTTTACTGCATTAAATCTTCTAAGAAATTCTACTTCTAAGTTTGGTATTTTTGGAATTAAATCATATTTAACTGAAATCAAAATATCAGAAAAGTAAAGGTAACAAATATCCCGTTATGCAAAGTGAATTATATCCACAGATATTGGTTCAATTAATCTACTTTATCTCTTGACAACAAACAGATTTTAATATTAATACAATGGGGTCAACCAGCAGATACATTTATAAGAAATTTATTATTTACAGATATTCAAACACAAATACATAAACACACAAAAGAGGTGTCGGATCCTTTAAAATGCA